GGCTGTCTGGAAGGGAACTCTGGAAGGGAACTGTCCTGTGTCCTCATCCAGATAGGGGACAAGCTCTGAATTTGGCTCCTGGTGACAGTGCCCTGGCTGTGTCCTTCTATATTTAGAGATAAAGTAAATTGATGCCTTGTGTTCACCACTCCCAGGCCTGCCATGCCCCGGCTGAGAGAAGGGAGTCGCTGGGCCCCATGTCCCTGCCCCGTGGACCCTCCAGCCCCTTTTCCATGCAGAGTCCCTCTGCCCCCCATTCCAGGCCAGACCCTTCACTGGATCCTGGAGAGGAAGGAGCCGGGGGAGGCGTGGGGGCAACATACAGGATCTTGCCCCAGGGGAGCTCAAAGCCCAGAGGGAGGTGCAGACAGACACAGGGAATCCCAGCAGGACACGATCCATGCAGAGGGAGGTACAGGTCCCAGGGACCTGGGGACCCAGAGAGTGGCAGCTGAGGCGGTCTGGGGCCCTGAGGGCAGCTGCTCAGAGGATGCTTGATGTGGGGGAGAAGAGGAAGGGAGGGGGTGAGGAGGTGACTGTGACTCAGACAGCCGGATATGCAGAAGACCAGAGGCAGGAGCCAGCTCTGTGTTGAGGTGAAGGGCAAGCCAGTCAGCCTGGGGGCGGAGGGCGGGGAGGGTGAGGAGGGATGAGCTGCCCAAAGTGTGTGCACTGAGCCCTGAGGCCATGGGAAGGTCATAGTGAGATGTGCCCCTTGGGAAGGCCACAGTGGGTCTTGGGGAGACTGGATGTGGGGTAGCGGGGACAGGAGGCAGGGAAACTTGTCAAGAGGCTGTGGGGTCATGGAAGCAGGGACAGGGGCTGCTCTGAACCATGTCAGAGGGTGGGAAAGAGATGAGGAGGAGAATTCAGGAGAAACTTCTAGAGCTAGCATTGACTGGACTTTGTGGCTGAACACAAGTGGCAGGGGTGGAGGTGGGGTGGAGGGAAGGGGTGTTTGAGGAAGATGGTGGACTTAGGATGGCTCTCTTTTGGGATTGGGAAGCCTGGAATGAGGGGTTGGAGTGTAGGATGTCACTGTCCAGATCAGGAACATAGAAGAAGAGGAACAGAAAAGGCATTGATCCTTGCCGCTGGGGTGTCCTGGGTCGAATCCTGACATCAAGGAATGGGGTCTGGAAGACAGGGCCATGGGGCCACTAGTGGGAAATGTGGGCAGAAGAGGGACCCAGCTCAGCCTTTACACACAAGTGACCTTGAACAAATCACCATCCTCCAGGACCCCAGTTCCTGCCTCTGAACAAGGGGAGATAATGCTTCTTTCTCGGGTTGTGCAGATGGGAGGGCTGGTTGGCAGAGGTCCGCCCCCTGCCTACAGCTCTGTGGCCCACGAGATCCCGCTCCTTGGCCGAGCTGGCTGTCAGGACCTCAGCCAAGACAGAAGAAAAACATCCCAAGGCCAGGAGAGGATCTAAGGGAGGGCCTTGACGTGGGCGTGGACACCATAAGCAGGGCGGGTGCTGGCTTGTGGTCAGTCTGCAAGGAGGGAAGGGGCTCTGCATGGACTCTCCGATGTTGCCTTGGCCGGCTGTGGTGCTAGGATAGGTCAGAAAGATGCTGGGACATACGTTGTCAGGACAACATACGTGCAGAAACACAGCCACACACGCACATGCGTGTGAACGCACATCCGAATGAATGTGTACTCCCGACTCTTCCACGACTTTTCCTTTTCCACGACTTGGAGGTGGGAGAGTGGGTTGTTTTTCCCAGACTCCAGTGTCTGGCACCTGTGCAAAGGGAGGCAGCGGGGCCAGGCATCCCTCATGCGACAAGTGCTTGCACCACACTGGTCTCCCCACACGCCGATGGAGCAGGCCAGACGCCAGACCCCGAGACCGGCTGGAGATTTTTCAGACTGGCTGTAAGCACGGGGCCAACCACATGGGGGATGGGAACGTGGCCCCTGCAAGCGGAGAAATGTTTTCTGTTTAGACATCAACGCTTGGGTTTAGAAGCATGAGCAAGTGCCTACTTGTTCTTTCCTATTAAGCCCCTTGGATTCTTTGGAAATAGAAAATTCTGGACCTTTATTCTTTACAGGATGAGATTTGATGTACATCAACTGAATTGCATTTTTTGTTTGTTTGTTTGTTAAGGCAAGCCCTCGCGTGGGTCCCAAACAGAACTTGTTTGCAAAACGGTCCACACAGCGTCAGCCTGGCCCCATAGAGACACCGGGCCCTTCAGAATCTGTGAGTTCTGCTTCTGACTCCTGGTGCCACAGCGATGCCTCCCAGAGTCAAGAGTGTGTCTGTCTTCGACTCCCAGTAGGTTCTTCACATCCTAAAGCAACCGGGTCAACAACCCCATGACCAGCACCAGCTGTGGCGTGTGTGGACAAGGTCATCAGTTCTGTGAAGGAGAAGATCCTCGAATGGAGGGCGTCCTGTCTGGAAAGTGATGGTGAGTACTTCGTCACCGATCTGAGATGTGTCCTCACAGGGGAGATGCCAACTCCTAGGGTTCTGCTCGTGCCGGGGGAGGGGCGCTGGCAACCTTGGGGGGTGCGGATTAGTATCTCTCACACTTCCAGCAGCCACCATTCGTGGAGTTCCAACTCAGTATGAGGCATTTCAAGTGCTTGTGACTCCTAAAGTCACCGCCATCCTGCTGGATTGATGGGACCGCCCGTATCTTTCCATGTGAACACGCTGAATTTGTCCAAAGCCATGACGTCTAAGCTCGCGGAGGCAGCGGGATTTGAACTCAGGCTGTATGCTTCGGAAGCCGCGTTCCGGGGGAGAGTCATCGGAGAGCCCCAAGAGCCCACACTGACCAGGAGACAGGAAGAGCTGGTTCTGACTCTGGCACCCCCAGCCCAGCTCCATGATCTCTGAGAAGTTACTGGGCCAGTCTGCCTGGCTTTCATCTTATCCTGTCTACATCACAGGGTTTTTACAGGCATGAAGTGTGTGGGAAAGTGCTGGAAAATGGACAGGGCTGCTCACATGTGAGCCTCACAGCCCTGTGGGGTGATCAGAGCAATGACGGACCATCCCCATTCTATACTGGAGGGAGCTGTGGCTCAGAGAGGTCCCAGAGTCTACCTGACACTCATCAGCATAGATCTCGTCTCCTTGAGTCTGGCACATTCTCCACTCTCCCTCCTGCTCTTGCTATGTACTGGGGTCTTGGCTCCCTAATTTTGGGTGTCTTCACCTTCTCTGGCATTGTTACTTTTCCCTTCCCTCTACCCCGCCCTCCCATAGCCTGGGTCCCATCCCTCAAGCCTGGCTCTCAGCAGTCTGGTCACTAGTCCCTACAGAGGGCTACGCTGGCCCGGCATGAGGCGACTTCTTTCCTGGAGGAATTTCATTTGTCAAAGGGTATGGAAATTTCCAGAGTGTTCAAGGCCTGAGATAGTTATTCTCAATCCTGGTTGCATGTCAGACTCTCCTGGGAGATCTTAAAAATATTCTGAGGCCCAGGGCCCACACCCAGACATTCCGATTTCATTGCTCTAGGGTGGGGACCAGGAATAAGCATGTCTGAAGAACTCCCTGGACATCGGGAATGTGCAGTCAGGGTATGGGTGGAAGTAGCTGATCTTACTTTGAAAGTGTTCGTGTCTTGGCCCAGGAGATTGCTTTCGAATGTATTTTAGCTTCAACTTCATTTTTACCAGTGTCTTTAATATTTAAGTAAAGAAAGCAAGGTTCTTTCTCTCATCCTTTCATGAATTAATTAATTGAACGAACTTTGAATGATTATCATCAATGATTACCTTCCACGGACTAATTTTTGTTTTAAGTCTTTTTTTCTTTTAAAGATTTTTTATTTATTTATTTGACAGACAGAGATTACAAGTAGGCAGAGAAGCAGGCAGAGAGAGAGGAGGAGGAAGCAGGCTCCCTGCTGAGCAGAGAGCCCAACGAGGGGCTTGATCCCAGGACCCTGAGATCATGACCTGAGCCGAAGGCAGAGACTTTAACCCACTGAGCCACCCAGGCGCCCCTAAGTCTTTATTTATTTAGGTAATCTCTACATCCAATGTGGGGCTCGAACTCATGACTCCAAGATCAAGAGCTGTATGCTCTTCCGAGTGAGCAGCCAGACGCCCCTATGGACTAGGCTTTTTTTTTTTTTTTTTTTTTTTTAAATTGGGTTTATTGAGGTTGCTAAAAAGGAACCAAAATGTGTCACTTAGACAGAGTTCCTAAACTGGGGCTTACTACCCAATTTAATTGCAGTTTGTCTTTTTTTTTTTTTTAAGATTTTTATTACTAATAAAACCACCAGAAGTATATAGCATGCAGTTTCAAACTTCCAAACCACTCTAACAACAACAAAAAAGGTGGGGAGGGTGATAAGGATTTCATCAATCCCCCAGCAAGCAAGGAGGCTGAAAATATGGGAGAAAACTAGCCCAGGAAGTGGAAAACACAAAATAAGACGGTATACATAGATCCCCACATACCAGGAATCACAGCGGGGGAACCGTGGCCAGGCGCGTGGCCAGGCACAGGGCCCTCCTGCTGGAGCTCGTTTCCAGCCTTCCTTCCCCCCGTGGCCCCGTGACCTATTAGTTGTGGAGGAGATGTGAATTTACACAGGGTGTGCCAAGCCTAGGCTGGGGCTTCCGAAAACAGGTGGGCCTTGTCCACATTCCCTAATTATTTTCTCAGTGACCGAAACCTAGGGATGGTGGTAGCCGAGGTTCAGCACCCCAGATAGTGCCGGTGCCCTGGGAATGCGGGCACCGTGGCTGGGACCCTCCTAAAGGTCCACAGGGAGCAGAGCTGCACCACTGACCGGGGACCATTTTCCCCAGAACTATTAGATGAGAAGGGAACACATGTCTCAATGCTTTAAGCCACTGTTGTTGTCGCCTTGGCCTTCTTTTTAAAGATTTTATTTATTTATTTGAGAGACAGAGCTTGAGCAGGGCGGAGGGGGCGGGCAGAGGGAGAGGGAGAGAGAGACTCTCAGGCAGACTCCCTACTGAGTGCAGAGCCTGTCATGGGCTCGATCTCATGACCTTGAGATCCTGACCTGAACTGAAACCAAGAGTTGGATGCTTAACTGACCGAGCCACCCGGGTGCCCCTTAGCCGCTGTACCTTTGAGTGTCCTTGTTAGGCTGCTCCCCCTGCCCCCTGTCTAGAGCCTGCAGGAGGAGAGAGCCAAGTCCCAGGCTCCTGGTGGAGGGGGCCCCGAGTTGGAGGAGCCTTCCCTCTGCTGTGGGACCCAAAGCCCCTGCAGACTCTGGTGGTGGTGACAGGTACACGGTTCAAGGAAGGGTAGAGAGTGGAGCTACACCAAGGGGTGCTGGGCCTGGCCCTCCCCTTCCCTGGTGGGGTCCCTGGCTCACTCCTCAGCAGTGGACGCAGTAGAGCTGGACACTACCACTGACCCGGAGCTCCCGCAGTCGCTCCAGGGTCTGCCGCTGGAGGCTGGTGGCGCCCAGGCCCTGCCCGTTGAGCGCCAGCTTCAGCCCTCCCTCCTGGCATAGGAGCAGCACCTGGAAAAGGACAGGAGGGGTCTACAGGCTTCTGGACAGACTGACCCTCCACTGCCTGCCTGACTCCCCACCCAGCGAGCTCTCCCCTTGGAAGTCACAAAGACTGGAACCGTGGGACATCCGGTTGTGGGAAGTAACAGGCCTGGGTGCCCAGCTTGTCACCAGACTGCTGTGACCTTCCATGAGGATCATCCCAGCCCTGGGCCTCAGTCCCACCATCTGTGCCCACTGCCTTCTCGCGAGTACTGGCTCTCAACCCTGGTAGCACTTTGGAGTCACTGGGGGGTGGGGGCGGTTAAATAACCAGGGTCTGCTCTGATTGATTAAATCCACGTTTTGGGAGTGGGATCGCTGGCGGGTGCATGGAGGGTTGAGAGCCGTGGCCTGGATGTCTGCTTCTCCTGGCAGGCTCTGGCTTCCCAGCGCTAGGACGCACCCCTGTCTCCCCATGGGAATGCTGCTCTGTGCCCTGCCCCGGAGGGACCAGGCCACTTGGCTCCTACTGACCTCGAAGAATCGCTGTGGATAGAAGAGGAAGGGGGCTGAGATCAGCTTCTTGCACCCCCAGCGCGAGATCCAGGCCAGAGTTCTGTCTGCGAAGGAAGCCCGGAGCATCACGGGCACATGAGCGGCCTCATCCCGCAGGCTCAGTGTGAAGCTATGAGAAGGGGAGGGAGAAGGGGCTCCGTGACTCCTCTGAGCCGTGGCTGCCAGACCCTAAGTGCAGGGACGGATGTGGGAGAGGAGCTGAGAGGGGCTGGGAATCCCCACGTTGCCACCCACAGGCTAGAGGACCCTGGGGGAGCAAAAGACCTTGCCTGAGCCTTGTTTCCCCCCTCGAGATGGGGAGAATTGTATTAGTAGTAGCTAACACGTACAGGGTGCTCCATGCTGTGTCGTCTTAAGTGTTTTGCAAATCACGCGGAGGTGTGAGCCGCCTGGGTTCAACCCTGCTCCACTGCTTCCTAGTCCTGGGAGCTTGGGGAGGTCACTTCACGTCCCTGTTCCTCAGTTTCCTGCTCTGTAGTGTGGGGAGAAGGGCACTGTACCTGCCTCACGAGCTCTCCTGTGTAAAGTGCTAGAACAGCACCGGGCATGTAATCAGCACATATCACACCCACTGTGTAACAAATATCACTCTACGGTCCAATCCCTCCTATTGACAGGAACAAAGGAGATAGGGTATGTGAAAGTTATCGAGTGCCTGGCACACAGTAGGTATTTTTATGGAGTCCTCCCGGAAATCCTGTGCCTTGAGGTTCAGCAGCCTGTGTAAGTGACAAGGACAAGAAGTCACATGGCTGGATCTGTCACTAGTAATAGCTGCGAGGCTTTGGCCTGGGCTGGGCACAATGCAGGACTCCAGATCTGGCACCTTTCTGCTGCCTGGCACCTGCCCCTCAAAGGGGAGCCAGATTCCTTTTCATGTCCAGGGAGCTTCCTTTGAAACAACACCTCTGAAGTCACTGGTGGCTGATGCCTCGGTCATCAAGAAGGGGTTGATAATAGCCTGACAGCCGGGAGACCAGGGAGACCAGGAGGCATAGCGTGGAACAGCGAAGCAGGGGGAGGGGATGGAAGCGGAGGGGTGAGGGTGTGGGGGTTGGGGAAGGTGCACCCTGGGTGGGTCTTTCAGGGACTTTCGTTGGATATGTTCTAGGAGGACGCCCCGGACATTTCCAGCTTTGGGAAGGAGCCAGCAAGGGCTCACCACTGGGAAGAAGCTTGGAAAGGCAGGGTTCTGGAGAGTACACCACACAGAGCCTCGAGCCCCCAGCCCCAAGCCCTTCCCATTGGCCTGAGAACTCCTAGAGGCCTCAGTGTCTCCCTGCCTCTCCCATCCCTGTCCTGCAAAGCCCTGGATGGTAACGGACTGTCCTCAGACACCTAGTGAAGTCCTGTAGCAGCTGCAGCCTTGTCCGCCCCCCTCCCCCCCAGTGCTGTGGGGAGGGATGGAGAGGGAAGGACAGATTTTTAATGCAGATGAATTCCGTGCCTTCCAACTCCGACTTCCTCTGTCCAGTTCAAGCCTCAGTCTATTCCAGAAAAAAACAGGAACAGCATTTACTGTGGACTTGCTGAACGCCAGGCACTGCTAAGTCTTCCTGTTGGCGGCCCATGGCCCAAATGGCCTGTAGAAATGTCCTGGCTGGGGGCACCTGGTTGGCTCAGTGGGTTAAAGCCTCTGCCTTCTGCTCAGGTCATGGTCCTGGGACCCTGGGATGGAACCCCGCGTCGGGCTCTCTACTCGGCAGGGAGCCTGCTTCCCTTCCTCTCTCTCTGCCTGCCTCTCTGCCTACTTGTGATCTCTGTCAAATAAATAAATAAAATCTTAAAAAAAAAAAAGTAGCACACCACTTCATAAAATAATAAATTAAAAAAAAAAAAGAAAGAAAGAAAGAAAGAAAGAAAGAAAAGAAATGTCCTGGCTGGTCCACAGTGTTCTTCAACTTCAAGGTCATACCATGTTCCAAAAGTGGGAAAGTTTATATGAAAGATGGGCTCCTGCTTCTTCTTTAAAAATAATCAGAAGGCTGGGCCTGAGTGGCTCTATGGAAAAACTCTTTCCACATTTCCTTCCCAACCCAGGGCTTCGCTCTTTGTCACCCGTCCAGCCCTCGATAAAGAGCAGTTTGATTACTTGCTGCGTCCCTGATACTAGCCATTTGACTTTGAGCTAGGACATGAACTTGATATCATGCCTCCCAGGTTTTTGTGGGGGAGGGTATTCTTTGTAACCCTGGGAACTTTGTCATTTTCCCTGTAGGACTGAGATGATCTCTCTCCTTTTATTCCGATGGGGAAACTCAGGACTCCAGGCTCAGAGGGCTGTCGTGACTTGCCCCAAGACTGCACTGTTCATGGGACCACATGGTCCCATACTGGAACGATTAGGGAGCATCTGTATAGTTGGTGTGTGGCTCCAAGCCAGGACTCCAACCAGGACTCCAACCCTGTTGTGCCTGGCTCTGGAGGTTCACGCTGTCTGGGGCTATGGTGCGCACCTGCTCCAGAATTCACAGGACCGCTCAAGAAAGAGCAGGCAGGGCAAGATTTCACTGAGGTCAGGGACTCCAGAAAACAAAACCGAAACAGAAAGGGAGAAGACAGGGCACTTTCCTTCCCTCCCGCCCCTCCACGGAGATCATTTTGATGACCCCCACATTGGTAGAGCGCTTACTGTGTGCCCGGCCCAATTCTGAGCATGCACGCCAGCCCTGAAGCTGGCACTATTATTACCTCTTCTTACACACGAGGAAACAGGCACAGAAAGGAAAAGTAACTGCCTTGGAGGGGCACACAGGTAGTAAGTGCCTTCAGCGGAAGTGAAACCCCGGGCGATCGGGCCCAGAAAAGTCATGAAATCTAACGTAATTCCAGCTGGAGGGAAGGAGGAAAGGAACAAAAGAAAGAAAAAGAAAGCGAAAGTGTCTTTGGAGTGCGTAGGTTTCGGGAGTGGAGCAGGAGCGCCCCCTGTTGGAAAGATTAGGCAGCACCCGTGAAGCTGGTGTATGGCTCCAAGCTCCCACTGCCAGGCACCAGGCCCTCTCTCTGGGGCTGCCCGGCCATGTTTCCCAAACCCTGTGCCGTGTCACCCTCAGAGGCTGAATTCTCTATCTGGGTCTCAGCGTGAGCCCTTAAAGGACCTTTCGAGAGGCCCCAGCTGGCACCTGCGATGAGAGGCTGGTTGGCCTGAACAGATGGACAGGCAGGGAGGGTTCTTCCAGAATTGGGGCTGTAGGGGCCGTAGGGGCAACCTGAGCACTGGGCACCGTCCAGTGCTCAGTGGTTGGGACTAAGCACTGAGCACACTCGCAGCCACAAGCTTCACGACGGGGCAGGGGTGTTAGAGATGGAAGAGGGGACGCTTGTGGAGCTCATCGATTCGGAGAATTTTCCCTCCCTTCCATGTGGATACGTACTCCTTGGGCTCCGGCAAGACCAGCCCCCGCAGCATGATGACCTGTCCGGGCCAGAGACCCCGGGGAAGGGCACGCGAGCAGGGCACCTCCTGTAGGGAGATGGGAGATGACTGAGAAGGGAGGCACGCAGGGGTCTGGGGAGAGCTGCTGCCCCCAGGGGAGCCCTGCGGAAGGTGTCTGTCTCTAGGCATGTGGCCAGGAGGACACTCAACTATCCTCATTTATCAAACATCTACCGCAGGCCTCGGCTCTCCCTGGCCTTTCAGGGCTGAGTTCCGTGGTTGCCCCCTCTTCCCGGGGGCCATGAGCCACAATATGTCCCCCACTGGTGCATCCTAGACAGTCATGGCCTGTTCGTTGGTCTGTCTCTCCAGCAGCCTGTGAGCCACTGGAGGGCTGGGACTGGCTGGTCCCTCTGTTCTGGAGCCTGGCACCGGGCCTAGCACAGAAGAATCTCAGATAATGGTATGCAGAAAAAATGGAGAAAAGGGAAAACAAAGCTGGAGGTTTCTATAAAGGAAGGGGGAACCTTGATGCTGGGGGCATTTCCCACTGGGGGGGGGTGCTTCCGCAGGACGACACCTCCACAAGGTGACCCAGGAGGGAGGTCACTCACCAGGCTACGGCTCTTCAGCAGGAAAGGCTGTCGAGGGGAGAAAGAAAGAGAAAGGAGACATGGAAACCATGCAGAGTTTGCTCAGCTAAAGAGAGCTTCTCAATATTATTATGAAGAATTGGGTGTATCTGGGGTTTGTCTCTTAAAAACAACACAGGTAAACGATGAGAGCGCAGAGGGGGGCCCTCTTGGATTCAGATGGACACTGGGTCTGGAAGAATGTGTTAGACCTGCACAGAGGGTCCTGTCATTCACTTATTGTGTGGCCTTGGACCTCATCTCCCCCTCTGTCCTGCAGGCCGACCCCAGCTCCCTCGCCTGGTGGATGCAACGGAAAGTTCCAACTTGGCGGGATCTTCTGATAGGAGCCCTGGGGCTCTGCCCACTGTGCACAGCCAGCCCACCCCATCCATCATCTCAAGCAGACCCCGGCTTGGGCTGGGAGAGGGAAATCCAGGCTTATGGGCAATGAGGGGGGCGACCAGTATTCATGGCAACTGCCCAGTGAAGGAAGGGGCAGCTGGCTTTTGTCAAATTGGGCAAGTCCAGTGAGTAGCAGGTCAAGCCAGGGGATCTGGGAACACTGGTGGCTCAGCTAGTGTGGCTGAACCATGAGGGCCAGCCCTTGCTCCCCAGAAACTCACGTATCCAACTGGGTACTCGCTGCCGCCCTCCGCAAATGGCTGTTAGGGAAGAGGAGACGCAACACGTGGGATTCAGGCCCGCCGAGCTCTGCAAGTCATTTGAGGGGCTCCCGCCTATCCTGAGGATGCCCTGGGGTGGGTAGAGGCTGGCTTTGGTGGGTCCTCACTCTCCCTGCAGGCCTTGTTGGGGGTTCTCAAATCTGGCACTTGCCCATGCTGATTCCTAGGCCCCACCTCAGACTTAGGGAGTTGGCATGTCTGATGGCGGGTCCTAGAAATCTGCATTTTCCATAAGCTCCTCAGGGGCGAAGGACAGAGCTACTGATGCTTGGGTCCCCTGGCTCCAAGTGTCCAAGCAGATCACCTCCTGGCCATTGCTCTCGGGTCCCCTTCTGTGGATACCTTCTCAACCCCGCTCGAATCCCACACCTTGATGGATCCCCTCTACCATGGTTGTAATGGGTGTGACAGGGCCTGCCTGGGGCAGCAGGGGCTCCCGGTCCCACCCAGACACCAGGGGGAGGCAGGAGCCGTCGCCACTCAGGGAACTCACGCTGATGTTCAGGAATCCAATAGCCTCCACCAGGATGTCACCAAATATGCCCAGGGTGTCTACACGGGACAGCGGGAGCCGGTAGCGGTAGTGGAGAAAGTGTTGTCCATTCACACTCACCTGGAGAGACAGACAGACAGACAGACAGCTCAGCAGCACCTAGTGTGCACTGAATCTGCCTGGCCTCATGGGGCGCTCTTACCTGGACCGTCCCTCGTTTAACTTCACACCCACTCTGGGAGACAGGCACGTTTGGCAGACGAGGTGCCCCAAGCTTCTGTGACCTTCCCAAGGTTGCACAGCTGGCCTCGGAACCAAGGCCCTTTTGATTGTCCCTCTGCCCCGAAATAGCACTTCCCTAGGCCATCCCTCAGCAGCAGCAGAAGCCCCAGCCCCAGGTGAGGAAATGGGGGTTCAGGAGGCCAGATGACTTCTCCCCCACAGGGGCCTCCCTCTGCTGCTGGCTCCCATCAGTTCCCCTTTCCCCCAGAGAGGTCAAGGTCCTGCCATCTTTCTGGCAGGAGTTCCCATCCATGGAGAAAGCCTTGAAGGGGAGTTCTCGCTCCCTGCGCCCTGCCCCCTCTGCCGTCATGAGATGGGCAGGGTGTGAGTTACCCACCTCGTGAGGCTCTAACCAGTGGATATTGAGGGGCTAGAACAGAGCCCATCACATTGCAGGCTCTTAAAGAACTTGCTAGGACTATGGCTCTGGTGCCCTCCCCAGGGCCAGGGCCAGGCACGAGAGAGCTTTCTTGCCGCCATGGATCCCAGGCCACGTGGGCCCAGGGCAGCTTGGAGCGAGGCTCAGCGGCTGCTCAGTCCGCTCAGGTCTTAATCCCTCCCGGGGATGCTCCTCCTCACAGTGACGTGGAGAATTCGGTGGAAGGAAGGAGGAGGAGAAGGATGAAGGTTCTAGACGCCAAAGCCCATCCCTTCCCCTCACCTTCATTTCCTCGTTTCCAAAGAGAAAGAGGAGGCGGAAAGGGGCTCCTCTCTGCAGGGGCACGCGGGGCCACCGGGCCTCGGCCTCCCAGCACCCCGAGTGCAAGGTGTTGCAGATGACGTGGGGCTTGGTGGTGTGGAAGCGAGGGTTGAAGTGGATGGCGATATCCGGCCGGGGGTGCACGCTGCAGCCGCACTGGAAGTCTACCTGGAACCTGGGGAGAGCTGCTCTTGAAGGGGCACCCCTGGTCAGAAACCCCGAGACCCCGAAGGCAGAGAGGAGCCTCCAGCTCGATGCCTCTGGGGCTGAGCTCCAGCAGCCCCGGAGAGCACCCCCTTACCTGCGTGCCTCTAGAGGGACCACTCCCTGTAGCATGACCATCTTGCCCGCACGCAGGCCACCGAAAATTGTCACCACATAAGGAACCACCTGAGCAAAGGGGGAAAGCTTGCCATATGGAGCTGGGGAATGGGTCTTAAGAGGGATCCCCACATCAGGTGGGCAGAGGGTGGGGGAGAGAAGAACAAGAAAACTCCATTCTCCTGCCCCCAACAGAAAATGTCCTTATGGGGGGAAAATTAAGGTTCTCTTCCACCTTTTCCCCTTTCCTAGACCCTGACATGTCAAAGCCACGTTGCCCTGGGGAAGCCAAGTTCAGCTCCATCGCCCCCTTGAAGCACCAGCCCTGCCCCTCTTCCCAGCTCCCTGGGCACAGAAGGGTCCTCAGTGAGACTTGCCCTGACCTCCAGCACCCGGCATTGAGGTCCTGAGGCTGTTTATTGGCTCAAGCCCAGGAACTTGGGGGCAGGAGAGACGGGCAGCAGGCAGAAGGCTGGACAAGTTGGGACCCTGATATGGATGCCAGGAGAGATACCCAACAACCACCCAGCCTACCTTCCCAGGCTCACCTCTCCCCACACAGAAGCTATGCAGAATTCCTAAAACACAACACACACGTTTACAACTCCCTGCTTCTTCAGAGCCACTTCCTCTGCTCTCCCTTGGCCCTGTGAGATCAAACTTGACTTTCGAGGTTCTCTGACACCTTCTCTAAGCACTGCCCACTATGGTGACTGAGTTTTTCCTTCCGTCCCCTGTGTTCCTGGAATGCTTCACTCTATGGCCAGCTTGGCCATTGGTGGGCTTACAGGGAAAGCAGGGGGCTGGATTTTCTGCTGGAGGCTCAGGCTAGCTGGAGCTGAAGCCCTGTTTTTCCCTTCTGTGCTCAGGGCCGCGCCTGGCACAGTGTGTGGGCTGTGAATATGTGTTTGCAGAATGAATGGGAACACGTCCCAGGTACACATCAGCACAACCAAGACTGGCTTTCACGTGTTCTCCGAACCACCTAGAAGGACCTGAGCCCCAACAGTGCTGCCCTCCAGGTAGGAGCTCGCAGCCTGCAGAGCAAGGAGGGAGCTTGTAACCTGGGGAGCTGCTTCACCCCGTTACTCAGGCATCCGGGGAGGTGCTGGAGCTCCCGGCTGGCTGTCGGAGGGCCCAAGGCTTAGCCAGGCTCAGTCCTGCCGTCCCTCCCACTTCCCAGGCTCCAGGCCTGGGCTGTAGTAATTACCGAGCTGCCGCAGCTCTCCCAGGGGGAGAAGGCCAAGTCAAGAGAAAGTGATAATTAGGGTTATTAATGGGAGGAAGGAGTGTGCTGGGCGTTCAGCCTTCTGTAAAGCAAAACCAGACTTCAGCAAATCCATGTGGGCACTGAGCAGGAGGAGGACATGAGGGGTCCCCTACACCCATCCTTGAGTTGGAGGTTCCAACATGACTCTCTTCCAGGCTGGAGATGAGACCACCCTAGGTACTCAGTGCCCCAAGAGCCCCAGATCCTCCTAGCCTGGCCCCCTTCACATGATAGGAGTACAGCCCTGACTCCAGGCTCTATTCCTTTTAAAATGAAAGGACCTGGTGAGCCCCATCATTCGCACCCAAGTGGGAATTAGCTGGTCGGCCACTTCGCTAAGCTCAGGAGGGCCTTCCAGAGTCTATGAGCAGGTGCTGAGAGGATGGCCCAAAACCGAAGGCCTCTCCACCCACAGCCTGGGAGTCTGGGTCCAGCTGGAGTCGGGGGGAGCCCTGGGACCTGGAGATTCCAGACCAGAGTGGCTGCTCACCGGGTGGAAGATGGGCGGCTGCAGGATGAAAGGGTCAGGAAGTGGGTCCAGTTTTTCTCCAGGTGACATGGGCATGGAGCACGTCCAACTCGGCCTGCAGATCCAGATTCCAGGAGCCCTGGCCCTGCCCCCACTGGCCGGACTTGCCTTTCCCAGCCAGGATCTGAGGTGCCAGGGCAACTCCCTTAGCGGTTAGCCTCAGCGGTTAACCCAGGCCGTTAGCCTGGGTCCAGCAGGGTCCCGGTGCCCCTTGCAGCAGGCCTGAGAGGGCAGCACTGGGCAGTGGTCCACCCCTGGTGCACACCCCAGATCCAGTCCCGCCAGCTGGATTGGGGCTGTCAGCAGAAATCCGAGTCCAGGAGCAAGAAGCTTGAACTAAGCAGCTAACTAACCAGCCCCCTGCCCCCACTTGCACTGGGCTCTGAAGCGCCGAGCTGTTGCAAAGGGAGGGCAGAGGCAGGCTCTCTTCCGGCCTGCTGTTTGTGGTTCCCCGGCCTCCCCTCGGAGCCCTCCCCAGTTGGAGGTCCGTGAGTGGCACATGTGGGCAGGTCCCAGGACAAGCCCCGCCCCAGCTTCTTGGACTTGGCTGAGCGGCTTTGCATGCCCGACTCCCCTCCCGGCTGAGGTTCCCCTGCCCTTTCCCCCATTTTTCCCCTTTTGCATGATTTATAATCCCCTGGGGCTCCATTTCAGCTTTAGCTACAAATGCCAGGGCCCAGCTGTGGTCAGAAAGGAGGTGGAGGATGGTGAGAAAGGGGCAGGAGGAGAGGAGCGCCCCCTGGAGGCTCAGAAGAGGCAGTGAGATGCAGTGGGCAGAATGTTCACACCCAAGGAGACCCAGGCTCTAGCTCAGCCTCTGCTTAACGTGCGCGTGCTGTGTGCCCTGGGCCAAGTCCCTTGCCCTCTCTGTGACTCCCTTTGCTCATCTGTGTATTGAGAGGGTGACTTCTGAAGAGTGTCTCCACCGGAGGTCTGTGTCTGGGGGCCTGGGGGTGGACCCAGCTGTCTGCCTTTTCATTGAGATCCCCCAGTCTTTGGACTGGAGTCACTCCAGTTTTGGTTCGAATTCCACTAAAGCCTTTCCTTTAAAAGGCGGCACAACCCCTCCACTTTATCCCGATTTGGGAGGTCCCAGGATCTGAGCCCCCTGTGGGACTTGGCAGCAGGGGATTTCTGGCGGCTGCCCAGGCTGGGCAGAGGCTCCAGGGCCTGGGGAGCTGAGGGAAGAAGAAAGCTGCTCTGATGGCCGAGCAGGTGCAGGGGCGGTTCTGGGGAAACGCAGCGGAGCCCGAGCTCCTCAAGTGTGGCATCAGCGTGGCCTGGAAGCTAGTTAGAAATGTGTCCTTCCAGGCCCCACCCCAGACCTATGGAAGGGGAATCTCTCTGGTGGCGAGGGCCTGGGATTTTCACGTGCTCCCCGGGTGATTCTGATGCATGTGGGTGTTGGAGAAGCCCTCACTGACTGGGGCCTTAACCGGCAGGGCCTGGGGTGCGGAACCAGGAAGTTTGCTCGGATCTTGCTGGGTAAGAGGAGCTGGACTACAGGAGGTTCTTGTATGGGGAAATTCGATCAGAGGTGTATTTAGACAGAATGATCCGGATGCACACCGTGGAGGAGAAACCGAGGTGGAGAATCCTGTTGGGCAAGCCAGGGGGCCCTGCCACTGGGAGGCAGGCCTGGGTCCTGTTCCCAGCCTCACAGCGCCCATCTTTCAGCCTGAAGCAAAGTGCCCTCCCCCACCCTCCTAGCAGGCCTCAGTCCCCCTTTGAATTGAGGAAGGAGGATGGCATAGCAAAATAGCATAAACTGGGCTGCTTAAACACAGATGTTCATTTTCTCATGGTTCTGGAAGCTAGAAGCCCAAGATCAAGGTGTCCGCAAGGATTTTTTTTCCCACTGAGCCTTGTGGAGGGTTGCCCCTTGATCTGTGTGTGTCCTAATCTCTTATAAGTAGACAAATCATCTGGAATTCTACCCATATGAACTCATTTTACCTTAATTACCCTTTTAAAAAGGGCCTTATGTCCAAATAGAGTCTCATTCTATTTCCTGGGGGTGAGGACTTCAATATCTGATTTTGGGGGGCAGAGCACAATTCAGAGGAATGGTTGTAGCTGGTCTCCCCCTGGAGCGCCAGGACCGTTGCAGGGGTCGGGAGTGGGGGCTGATGAGGGCCCGCAGCAGAAGGAAGAAGGTGGTGAATTTCCTTTCTCCTTTCCTTGGGTTTTGACAGCTGCGAGGGACCAGGCTGGGCTTAAGCATGACTCCAGAGCTTGTGGAACATGCGAGGCTACAGAGTGAGAGAGGGCCTTCGTGTCTCTGGGTCTGTCCAGGAGTGGGAGAGGGAAAATCCTTTTTCTTGAGCCAGAGGGAGGGGAACTTTGGGAGAGGGGAAAGGCCTGATGATGACCCTGAGGCTGATGGGAGGGGGCAGGGATTTCCCTGCCCCAGGCTGGTGCCCCCACTCCACCCCAGCTCCCTAGACCTGGGCTTGTCCCTCTGAGCCCTTATCATAACTGGTCATTATATATCAAAGAATTGTCTAATGTTTGTCTCCCCCTCCCCCTATTTCCCAGCTATAAATTCCATGAGGGCAAATTTACACTTTGACCCTCAGCGCCAAGCAAGCCTGACACCAAGCAAGTGCTCAAATGTATTTAAAGAATGAATGACTGACCACCCGGGGCTGTGGTTTCGGGCTCCTATCCGACCACCAGCACCTTCTGTCTCTCCCCAGCAGCCGTGGAGTCCTAGCGCAAGCCCACACGAGGTGGCTGCTCTTCTCACGGGCTGCAGATCATCATCGAGGCAAATTTATCTATTTGTCTATGAGGAACCAGTTAGTAACCAGGGAATCATAATCGGGGACCTCAGGGTGCCCTTTTCTCCCCCATTCTTTGATCTAGCAACTTCTTCCCCTATCCCTGCTCTTGCATGGGTATAACTCTGGGCCTGGGGAGAAACTGATGTCCAGATTCACCTACTTTGGTCTACATCTTAGCCTTTGTCTCTCTGGCTCCCCTCCAGGTCCCTGGAGAGTCTCAACAGATCCTCCTTCTCTCGGGACCAGTTCTGCATCATCCTGGAACAGACGGTAGGATAATGAGTAGAAATCCTGGGCAGGAAGGATCGACAGAACTCGATAGCTGGCTGGTAAGAAACATAAGGAAAAGAGACCAAAAAGAAAAGAAAAAGAATAGCCTCCAACATCTTGAACCAAAGGATTGGGAAGAGTCTGGTGAACTAATGGAAAAACAGAGAAGCTACGGGTTCAATCTGGAAGGTGGGGAGATGGCTAATTCCAGGTAGGACCATTTTGGGGGAGGGGGAAGGTGCAGGAAATGGCCTGGACAGGAGATGTTCAGTCCCTGAACATTTGTTTGTTTATATGTTTCTAGGAATTTACCCCTGTCTTTCAGATTGCCCAATTTGTTGGCCTATAATTGTTCATAATATTCTCTTATGATTGTTTGTATTTTAGTCAGCATCTGTTGAAGGAATGGAGGTGCTATTGCCTGGAAGCTTTTTAATACACTCTGGAGAAGACAGTTTCAACTTATTTGGGTGCTGCTCTGCCCTGTGAAAGAGTGTTTGCTTCTGCGGCCATTTTGCGCAACAAGGTGCTGTGGTCGTTACAGGGAGGGGCAATGACTCTTGCTCTCAAGGAGCTTCGACTTGAAGAGCGATGACATACACCTGGAGGAGAAAACCAATAGGACAAAGCCAGCCACTTTTTATTCATCTCCCACCCGCACAGAGGTCGAACCATCTGGATGGGAGTGTTGTAAAATGGGAAGAACAAACACCCCCCATAACTTCAGTAGGCTAACACAACACTTTTCATTCCTTTGATGTTTATCCTATGAACAGTCTTCCCTCCCCCATGGAACGTAAGTTTGGGGAAGAATCTCAACCAAAAACTTGATGTAGCCTGATTTTTTCCTCGCCCATGGCTCTTGACCATGTAGGTTGACTCTCTCTTTCCTGCTGGGTTCCTGTCACTTTCCAATCATTTTCGGTTACTGAAACCCAATATAGTAATAATCTATGTTGGTGCCACCGCGGAAAGAAACAGAAGCAGACGTATTTACTTCCTGATGGAAGGGTGTGTGGGGTCTCATCTGGGCACCATGAGAGCCAGGAGAGATATATGGTAGGAGTTCCCAAGGACTATGTTTTAGGAAGAAGAGAGATGACATCAGAGGGAAGGTTTGCAATGCAAGAAGGAGGGATGAGGAGTGGTAGTGGCCAACTGGCAAATCTAAACGAATGTCTGTGTGATATATGAATGGTAATTACGTGAATTCAGGCTAAAAAAAAGGGCAAAACTAAAATAACATGGGAGAGGAAGACAGAGGTGGATGTTCTGACATCCTTGCATTGTTGCAGAGGGGTGTTTAAGATATTAATTTTGGACTTTAAGCATGCATGTTAAAATTTCAAGGGCAATAAATGAAAGGATACCGGGTAAACTTCCCAATGAGTAGAGGGAAAAACACAATATACTGAAGATCAGATCTTTATGAAGAATAATATAAAACTTCATTGGGGGCGCCTGGGTGGCTCAGTTGGTTGGGCAACTGCCTTCAGCTCAGGTCATGATCCAGGAGTCCCGGGATCGAGTCCCACGTCGGGCTCCCAGCTCCACGGAGAGTCTGCTTCTCTCTCTGAACTTCTCCCCTCTCATGCTCTCTCTCTCTCAAATGGATAAATGAAATCTTTACAAAAAAACACTTCATTGGAAAGACAACTATCATATGATCTCCCTGATATGAGGAAGTCGAGAAGCAACATGGGGGGTTTGGGGAGTAGGAAAAGAATAAATGGAACAAGATGGGATTGGGAGGGAGACAAACCATAAGAGACTCTTAATGTCACAAAATAAACTGAGGGTGACCGGGGAGGGGGGGTCGGGAGAGGGTGGTGGGGTTATGGACATTGGGGAGGGTAGGTGCTATGGTGAGTGCTGTGAAGTGTGTAAATCTGGTGATTCACAGACCTATACCCCTGAGGCTAATAATACATTATATGTTTATAAAAAAATTAAAAAAAATTATAAAAAAATAGTTCATTGGAAGATGTTAAAGAAGACCTCACAAACAGGGATACTATGTAATTGATTGGAAGACTCCATTTTGTAAAGATCGAAATTGCCAAATTGACATACGGATTCAAGGTAATTTCAATCAAGATGCCAACAGAGTATTTTTTTAAAAGACTTTTATTTGTTTATTTGACAGAGAGAGAGAGAGATCACAAGTAGGCAGAGAGGCAGGCGGGCGGGGGAGAAACAGGCTCCCTGCTGAGGAGAGAGCCGGATGTGGGGCTCGAACCCAGGACCCTGAGACCATGACCTGAGCCGAAGGCAGAGGCTTAACCCACTGAGTCACCAGGCACCCCTCAACAGAGTATTTTGAGCAATTTAGCAAGCTATCTTTATGTAAGGGCAAAAGCCCAAGAATAGTTAAGAAACTCCTGTGAAAGAATAAAGGGCGGGGGGGGGAGTCTCCAGAATTCCATATATCGAGACTTATTATAAAGATTTAGTAATTATGATCACCTGATAGGAGTGCGAGGACAGACACATTTACCAGTGGAGTAGAATACACCAACGATATTCTTGCTTGTTTTCTAAAGTCTGACACATAGCACAGGTGGTCTTGCTCATTCCTGGGGGAAGAAGAAACTACGAATAAGCCAGGTTGAGCTAAATTGTACGGGGATTATTCATATGGGGAAAAATCAAGTCCACGTAGATTAAATGAAAAAAGACAATTTTTAAATTTAAAACTTTAAAATTTAAAACTTTTACAAGAAAATGTAGAAGAATATTTTTCTGACTTCAGAGCGAGAAAGAACTTCATGGCAAGATGCAGAGTGCTAACCACAAAAGAGAGGACTGATAAACTCTACCGCATTAAAGTTAAAAACTTCTCTTTAACTGGAGACTCCATAAAGAAAGTGAAGACAAGCCATCACCTGGAAGAAAATATGTGTAAACAAATAAAACTGACGACTCCAGAGAAAATTGGGCAAAAGACATGAAAAGGCACTTTTTACAAGAGGAAATCTAAATGGCTGATTATATATATATATACATACATATATGTATATATAGACACACACACACACACACACGCACACGTTTCAATCTTAGTGATCAGTGAAAAGCAAATAAAAACTTCCTGTAAGACTTCTTAGTAAAATAGTATTTTATATCCATTTACCTGGAAAAAGCAAATATGACAGTACTAAATGTTGGTGAAGATGTAAATCCACAGGAATTCTTTTTAATTTTTTAATTTTTTAAATTTATTTATTTGACAGACAGAGATCACAAGTAGGCAGAGAGGCAGGCAGAGAGAGAGGAGGAAGCAGGCTCCCTGCCACGCAGAGAGCCCGATGTGGGGCTCAATCCCAGGACCCTGGATCATGATCTGAGCTGAAGGCAGAGGCTTTAACCCACTGAGCCACCCAGGCACCCCAGTCCACAGGAATTCTTACTCGCTGCTGGTAGAAGTTAAATTGGCGCCATCACTTGGAGAAATGTTTTAATATTTTGTCGTAAAGTTGAATCTTTGCATACCTTCCCAGGTACTAAATTCTGTAGAATCTCCTGCATGAATCGTCAGGGCACAATTTGGGTTCTTTTCAATAATTTCTAATTCCAAATTCAGAAGTAACCATGTGGCTTTGGCACCAGATGGATAAATTGTGGTACATTCACAGAATGGAAGAGAGAGATCACAAGTAGGCAGAGAGGCAGGCGGGTGGGTGGGAAGCAGGCTCAGATGGCACCAGATGGATAAATTGTGGTACATTCACAGAATGGACTGTTTTCCAGCAGGGAAAATGACTTACAGATTTATACAGTAAGATGTAGTAGGTATTATGGAAACAGCTTCGAAAGAAGCAAGTTGGGGAACATACAGCATACCATTTCTACAAAGCTTCCAGTACACAGAAGGAAAGGATGGATGAGAAGTACAAAGAAGGGGTTTTACAAAGCTGCTTTTTTTTTTTTTAAGATTTTATTTATTTATTTGACAGAGAGAGATCACAAGTAGATGGAGAGGCAGGCAGAGAGAGAGAGAGAGAGAGAGAGGGAAGCAGGCTCCCTGCTGAGCAGAGAGCCCGATGCGGGACTTGATCCCAGGACCCTGAGATTATGACCTTAGCCGAAGGCAGCGGCTTAACCCACTGAGCCACCCAGGTGCCCTACAAAGCTGCTTTTAAAAAAGGCAAGGGCACAAGAGCGCCTGGGTGGTTCAGTCGGTTAAGGGTTGCCTTCAGTTCAGGTCATGATCCCAGCATGGAGCCTGGGGAAGGGCTCCCCACTCAGCCTGGAGTCTGCTGTTTCCTCTCCCTTTGCCTCTGCCTCGGCTTGTGCTCGCTCGCTCTCAGATAAACAAAATCTTTAGGAAAAAAGAGCAAGGGCATAATAGACACAAGAGTCAGGAGAGGTTACCTCTGGCAGAGGGAGGCAGGGAGATGGGACAAGGGACGAACGCAGGGGTGGGAGCATCTGTGCTAGGTATGTTCCCGTTCTTAAGTAGACTGGTGCATCCATGGAGAGTAATTTTATTCCGTTTCACAACTACAAGTATTCCACGTTTTCTTTTCTTTTCTTTTCTTTTCTTTTCTTTTCTTTTCTTTTCTTTTCTTTCTTTCTCTCTTCTTCTTCTTCTTCTTCTTCTTCTTCTTCTTCTTCTTCTTCTTCTTCTTCTTCTCCTCTTCCTCTTCCTCTTCCTCTTCCTCTTCCTCTTCCTCTTCTTCTTCTTCTTCTTCTTTTTTTAAGTAAGCTCAGCGCCCAGCGTGGAGCCATCCTTGGTCTAGAACTCACCACCCTGATATCAAGACCTGAGCCATTATCGGGAGTCCCACGCCTAACCGACTGAGGCACCCAGGGCCCCTCCCTGTGTTCTTTTGTACATATTACGTATGATATATAATTAGTTACAAAATATATAATTTAAATTATATAAATAATTCAAATAAAAACTGTGACTCCCTCAAGATCTTCACTCCTGAGCGTGCCGCCCCAGGCCCGCCTAAGGTGGCATCACTGCGTTTGTCGCTCCTCCGTCCGCTTCTGCAGCCGCGTCGGATGGCACCTCCGGCCTCCGTGCCCCCTGTTTGCGCGGCCTTCCACCCAACCCACGGCACCCCCTGTGACCTCCGCCGCCGCTTTCCTCGTCTTTCCTGGGCCTCTAAGCGCCCCCCGCAACCCCGAGCGCCCTCTCCGTTTCCCCCGCTGTGCGCACGGCGCCCGCGCGCCCCCGCCGTTTGCTGCGCGCCCCGGCTTCGCGGCCAGGGCCCCCCCCCCACGCCCTCCGCAGGTCCTCACCGCGCCGCGCCAGCGCCCTCCACCCCGCCGGCTCCGCCAGCCCGGCGCAGAGCCGACGGGGTCCCAGCCGGTGCGGAGCCGCAGCAGCGGGATGGGCCTGGGCCCCGCCGCCCGCGGGGAGAGAAGGCGTCGCCTCTCTCGCTTCCCCCGGCCCCGCCCCGGCCCCGTCCCGCGAGCCGCAGGTACGCTGCTTGAGGACCTGCCACCAGCCCCCGGAGGGTCCGCTGTGCTCTGGTCGGCCGGGCCGCAGGAACCCTGCTCCTCCATCGGACCCCAGAAAAGGCACCAGAGATGCCTTCAAGGCTCCTCCTAGCTAAGTGTTGGCGGTGCGAAATGCCCGTTAACCGGAATGAGCGCTTACTTGGAATGATCTGTCGTTGGTAATTCAACCAAAGCGAGCCAGGCGTCCAGCGCCTCCCTCGGGTGTCCCCCCTCTGACTCTGTTCGGGATAGAGCTGGAAGTAGAGTTGGCAGCTCCAGAACAGCTGACAATGGCTCTAGGACTCGAGGGCCGCTGAAGCTTCTGCTGTCAGGTTTAGCCCCCGCCCCCATGTCGGGGATCTCACTTCATCCCCTCCCCGAGCTTATCCCTGGGAGTTCCAAAGTCTCTTCTTTCCAGGGGAACTGAGACCTCTGCAGCACCCAGTCTCACAATCCACTCACTTCCTCACCCCAAAACTGAGGGCTGACCGGGCCAGGCATGGTTCTCGACTGGAGCTCTGAGCCCACCTTCACAGAGATGTCAAGGTGCTCGCTCCAACAATCCTTTCATAGATTTTGTTCCCTGTAGGAGGCAGTTATGGTTTGTTTTTCATTTATTTTTTAAGGATTTTATTTGTTTATTAGAGAGAGAGAGAGTGGGAGAGCGTGAAAACACAAGTAGGGGGAGTGGCAGAGGGAGGGGGAGAAGCAGGCTCCCTGTTGAGCTGGGAGCCTAATGTGGGGCTCCATCCCAGGACCCCGGGATCATGACCGGGTCTGAAGGCAGACGCTTAACGGACTGAGCCACCCAGATGTCCAGGCAGTTGTGGTTTAAATAGCATCCTCCTCCCCACCCCCTATCAGAAGAATCATCTCAAGCGTTGGTCCAGCTCTCGCCCAAGGAGCCACAGCAGGGAACCTCAGAGCTGAGCAGAAGCAGCCAGGAGGGGTAAGAGTCTCTGTGTGGAAGGACTAGGTCTTCCGGTGGGGAAGACTTTGGAGAACCGACTTTGATGGCAATCCTATAAAGCAAATCCCGAGCTGGTTTCCATAGGAACCAGCCTACTTGCCCCCTAACCAGCGAAGGGAGGGCTGCTGTGCACCGGATAATAGATGACCACCAGGCCTGGGACCCGCTGGCAGGACCTGCTTGGCAGTAGTTTCTAGCCACAAGGCCTCCAGAACCCTGAGAACTGCAGTTTACCGCATGGCCACATGGTCTCACTAATGAATTATGTGATCTTGCAAATTTCCTCAGTTCACTTTCATTAAAAACACAGTTTGCTTCAATTTGCAAGGACCTGGATGGAACTAGGGAGTATTATGCTAAGTGAAATAAGTCAATCAGAGAAAGATGATTATCATATGATCTCTCTGATATGAGGAATTTGAGAGCCGGGGGTGGGGGTTGTGAGAGTTAGGGAGGGAAAAAAATGAAACAAGATGAGACTGGGGAGGGAGATAAACCATAAGAGATTCTTAATCTCAGGAAACATAATGAGGTTTGCTGGGGGGTGGGGTTGGAGCCGGGAGGGATAGGGTGGCTGGGTTGTGGATGTTGGGGAGGGTATGTGCTATGGTGAGTGCTGTGAATTGTGTTAAGCCTGGTGATTCACAGACCTGTAGCCCTGGGGCAAATAATACATTATATGTTAATACTAATAATAAAAAAAGCATGGTTTGCTTCTTTTTGAAATTGTGAGGGTCTGAATGTTCCCCAAAGAGCTATACTCCATCCCCATACACTATACTTTGGAGAAGAGGTAAAGTGTGGGGGAAAGGCAAATAAAATGCCATTTTTTGGTTGGTAATGTACCAGATGTGTATATATTATGCTCTTTCTCTCTCTCTCTCT